TCCGCAGCTTGATATGGTGGACATAATCAAGGCCTTTCTATACTCAATGAAACACATATTCTTTTTGGTATTCTATGGCTTTCTCAGCCTGCATCAGCAATACTGTCTCTTATTCCTTGGCTTTTCTAAAAGCCACATTGAACATCTGGTATTTCTCTTTCCTTATGTATGTATGTATGTATGTTTCCAATTTAGTTACCACCCATCTCACTCAAGAGCGCTCTGAGCGGTTTACAGTGACACAAGAATAAATATAAGGCTATGATCTGGATCTCTATCAATGAAGTTTAGAACTCCAAAAGCAAATCCTGATGTTCTCCTTGAAAATGATGGGTATATGGTCATGATCATATTCTGGAATCTAGTTGGCTTTGTTCTTCCACTGTAGCTTGACTTGGAAATTTTACAGCAGCACTTCATGATCTGTTCTATAGTCAGCCCCTGGCCACATCTCTTTCAGCTCCATGTACCTATAATATAGTCAAGATGACTTCTGAGTACTCCATATGGTGATGTCTATGTATAAAGGTGTTTGAAGACAGTATTACCAATCAACAAATCAATGGATTGGCAGAAACTGTTGTTCTCCTGTTTTATTTCTGTTTCTTTGGCCACACTGTCCAACTCCATTTTTCTCTTTACTATTTTAAACATTGGCATTTCAATCTCCAAACATGAACAGCACACCCTGTTTGCGTGTTCTGACAATTTCAGAGTGAACTTGACCGTTAAGCTCATGAACTTCCTCTTCTTCCACAACAGCATTGAAACACGAAGTTTAACTGTCATATTAAAGGGTTGTCTGCAAAGTCTAACTGATATCATTTGGTCACAGACTGCACTGTATTCAGGTGCCATCTTTACTATAGCTTTCCCATAAAAGTAACACCGTTTCTTTGTTTTTCATTTTCTGAGTAGTAAACAGTGTAATTTTTTGAAAGTGTCCAATTCCAGGCTATTTCAATTCACTGATGTGCAAGTTGTAGGCATTTCATTACATCTTTCACTGGATTGAATTTTTCCACGTTCAAGCTTCTATTGTTCCATATTCCCACTGTAATTCTGTCTTTGCAATTTCAAGTTTTCTCTTCCTGCATGGAAACATCAGCAACTAGCTGTCCCAAAGGCTTTAACTGAGCCGCATTATAAACACCATTAGTACCCCAAATATCCTCAGCAATTCCTCAGTGGCATACTGAGTGCCGTCCAACCTTAGGGGCCAATCATATGGCACTATATCATTAGGGACACTTTATCTTGTCAGCCCATGTGGTTTTCTTGGTAAAGTACTGGAGTGGTTACCATTGCCTTCTCCCACTCAGTATAAAATGATGCCTTCGCTGTTGTCACTAAAGTGATCTTCTGTCTCCAACATCTTCCTGTTTCCTAATATAGGTGCCTGCTTCCTTTAGCTAAGCAGCTGGGATGACCTTTATGCCTTGGGTGGCCCTGCTGGAAATACATACTCTTGGCATACACTCCCGATCTTCTTCACTCATGCCTCTCAGGAACACACTTCTCCCACCCCTCATGAGATAGCATAGCAAGACAAAGGATGGTGACTACACTTACAAATACATTCTGTTTGCACAGATTTAGAGATTATATAGTCTCTCTCTCTCTCTCTCTCTCTCTCTCTCTATATATATATATATATATAAACAAAAACAAAAACCCAAGACCTGTTGATTGGGGGGGGGCTTTGAGTCATTGCTGACTCCTAGCAACTGCCTGGACAAGTCCCTGTAGTTTTCTTGGCAAAATTTCAGAAGTGGCTTGCCCTTGCCTGCTTCCTAGGGCTGAGAGAGAAGACTAGCCCAAGGTCACTCAGCTGGCTTTGTGCCTCAGGCAAGACTAGAACTCATGGTCTCCCGGTTTCTAGCCTGATGCTTTAACATATCATTAGTTGTATTACATTACTATGCATAATACAGCTGTTAAAGTATCTCCATAAGTTTATTTGATCAAACTAGACAGAATACTAACTGCATTTTTTAATCTGATTGGGGTTAACTTTTTTTTTTTAAAAATCAGACTTGTAGTGAAGGCCCCCAATCAAGATTAGGGCCAAAACTAGCTTTTTGGGAGAACAGGGGAAGTAAACATTGCTTTGTGTTATATTTCTACTGAAAACTGGAACCAGATGCTGCTTTTAACAGTTTTCATGGGGTAATTTTCATTGGGAAAAAGATAGAGGCTGGATAAACAGTTCTGTTGTTATCGTAGTTTACTGCCCCCCCCCCAGTACTATGGTCCCAATCCAGATAGGGATCCTGAAGAAGTGACAATTGTTAAAAATATATTCCTGTACTGAATCATATAAGAAAGATGAGAAACAAATGAAATAGAAAAAAAAAGATTTAATGCAATCAGTGATGAAGAACGAAGACTGATTATATACTATGAAAGACCTGATCATAGAGGAGTAGATGATTCACCCTTAGACAGTTTTGAGACAAAAATATTCAAGAGACCCTGACAAAATTTACAACAGTCATTTGCAATGCTAAATAATGGTATATAAACATGAAAACAGTACAAATCATAGGGGCTTATTTTGTATCTGCTGTAATCCTCGAGATCAGAATGTATGAATATACTCAGTGGGAAAAAGTGGTAAGAATATTCATTCAAAGAACAGCTTCAGATTACAGGGAGTCCAAATGAAACTTCCCTTCCTGGAAATACAACCTATCAGAATAACTATTTCCTCCTTGACCTGATTGTTTTCTATAGGTCTGAGGGTTATAAGAGGAGAGTACAGTGGTACCTCGGGTCACGAACGCTTCTGTTCACGACCAATTCGGGTCACGAACAATATCGCCTGCAGCATCTATATTGTGAACCCAGAGTACACCCTGACACCAAATTTGTTCATAATAATTGGGAGAACGGATGA